AAAATAAAAAATTTATATCTTTATGTTTGAAGCCTGAAATGTGGCAAAAGGTTGAAAAGTTCAAGGGGGCCGAATACTTTCGCAAGGCACTGTATATTTGCTAAAATATAGCAAAAGGGCAAGGTTAGGCTCATAGCCAATATCAGCTTCACAAAGTTTGTGACTTTTGATTGTTGACAGTGATTAAATCAAGCTTTTGGTTGTAGCAACAAAGTCAACTGAACTGACTTCTTCAGAATCAGCTGTGAAACAGGGGTTTAGAACAAGCTACCCCAGCAATGTTGCTGAAGCTGATACTCTCGCTTCCTTCATAAAACATCTAGACAAGAATCCCAGATAAATTTACTACAAGCAGCTATTTAGCCCTTCTTATGTTCTTGACTACAATAACACTAGTAGGTAAAATGATGTCAATCTTGGATTCTGACTTCAAGGATTAAATCAAAGAGCACTATAATCCCCTACTATCCACCTTTAGCCCTCTAAGGCACATGTATGCCCAGCAGGTGTCCAATCCAGTAATTCTTTAATTAGACATCTCTATTATCAAAACCCAGAGACTGAGATTCCTGTTTTAAACAAAAGTGAATTTGTAGCTCATAGGCAACTACAAAGCCAGTGAGCACATAATAAAGGCTCACTTTGTACAGCAGCCTGTAAAACGTCTCTTTGGTTAAAAACATGGTGCTCTCTGAAACCAAGAGTAATCTTGCCATGCGAGCAGTGAGACTAATGGTCCAGGGGGTGATTGTATACTACACAGTACCTTGGTTTGACTGAGGTTATCATTGCGTAGCCTCTGCTTGTTCTTCTGTAGCTTGCTGGGCATCATCTTGCCAGTGCGGAAATCAAAGCAGCCGAGGTCGACTGTGTTCCCCAGGTACCGAGACAGTTGGGGCTTGCTCCTGAACTTCTTGCCAGTAGGACTGGAATAAAAACACAAGCAGGTGTGTCAACACCCTCAGGGCCAGGACGAGTACCAGCATCTGGAGTGATAACATAGACTCTCAGTACAGCGGCTAACATCTACGGCCAAAAGCACGAGAGAGATTCTTTGACCCATGATAACCAAGTGCTTTCTTTTAAAGGTTAAATATTAATCTAGCGGACAGTCATTTACAGAAAAGGGGGAAAATCACAGAAGACCCTAAAAAAGAAACGTCAAGTGCGGGAAATGAGAATAATTGATATTTTGGGGTATATGAACACTTCACACCAGCAATTCAGAAAAGATAAAAAATATCTAGTTCATTATTTCCCTTTGTCATAGTTATGAACACCCTTTTCTGTTAAAAGACCATGCTGTTACTGCTAAATTGCTATGCAACAATATTCTGTCTGTTTAAAAAGAACAACACAACTTTCAGGCTTTCAGAATAGCCTAAAACTGACACACTTCCCCAGTTACACACGTAAAAGGGTTAAAAAAAAACTCTGACCTACTAATACAACAAATTTGTAATGGTTTAAAGGTGAACTTGTTTCTAGCGTTGTTTAAACATCAATACATACAAAGGCAAAAGGTGGTTTTACAGACAAAAAAATGGAGGATTTTAGGTCTCCAAACTGACTAAATGTATGGTATGCATAGCACCACAGAAACATCACAGGAGCAAGGGATTAAAAGCAAAATAGATTTTGCCTCCTTAAACTGCACTAGACAAAAACAGCATTTACAAATAAATGTTCAGTTTAGCTTCTGAAAGTTCCCCCGGTGAATGAAGATAGCAATGGTTGACACCTGCATAACTGAAAGGAACGTGTGAAAAATTAAATTAAAAAAACACAAAAAGTGGCTTGTTAGTATAGTTGACAATCTCAAAAGCTGCATCTTGCCCACTGAGCTATTTTGCACCAGAATTCCTCAACAACAACAACAAAAAAAAACATGTGGACACTTTGAGAAAAAGAGAAAAACGTACCATATAAAAAATATGGAGCATGAATTAATCATTTTTTTCCTTTATCTTACATACTTTTCTAAAATGAAACAAGCTGATGAAAAACATCAAGATTTTACTACTACTACTTTACTAGTATTTGATATAGTGTGTTACTCTACAGCCATACACAAAGCTTCTTACAAGGGGAAGCCAATGGACCAAAGATACCAGACTTCTATTGAATAGCCCATGACTTGTCTACTAGAGATCAGCACTATTTCAAGAAGGCCTGCATGTTAAAAAAATTGTAAAACAAAAATATTAAGCTTTGTGGGTTTTAAGAGGGATTCTCTGATTTTACTGAAGTGATTGATATCTGTCCAAACCATAGAAATCTGTGCTATGGGACTGTATTTCATAGGAAATCCTAAAAAATGATCCTAGCTAAAATCAAGAGAAATGAGCTGTAAACTATACTGTAATATGGCATAATCCAAGCTAATTCAAATCAGAATTGCATTAGTCAATCATACTCTAAGGAGTGGGCTAAAAACAATGTAATTATGCACATGGTCAGCACTGACATTGTATGTCTTGTACAACAATATCACACAGAGAACGAGTTGCAGCTCATTGAAACATGGACAATACAGCTCTCGGACATCCCCTCTTCTTTAATTAATACGTCTTTAGTGTTTCATCTGTCAGACTTCTAAACCAAGAACAGCATTCTTTTTACTTTTTGCAGTTAACACTGACAATTATTCTAACACCTTCCTATAGCTCAAAAAGTTCAAAGTGTAGGATGTTTTTACACTGTAAAAATTTGCTTAAATGGTCTGAAAAGTGGGCGTTTATTCCAGTATATTAAAGAGAACTGTCCAAAAGTTTTTTTTTTTTCGAAGAAGGGAAAAGCTAATGCTCTTCCAAAAATGCAAATCATACATACATCCTCTGCAGGCAATGAATTTTACTGACCAACAGAAGCACTGAAATGAATGTACAAAAAACTTCAAAAGGATGTTGGCCAGTGTGGTGTCTGCCCATGACTCAGCACACAATGCAGAAAGAGCGTGATGTTTCATAGCCATTGGTTAGCTGACTCAAAAATGAAAAAACTGACTAGGCTCACAAAAAGCCTTTTGACATGGCCATCTTCAACTGAGTAGTCAGTTGCACAGCGAAACTACCTTCTGAAAACTTTAAATGACAGCCACAACTACCTCTACATCAAACCTCAGCTAAATCAATTGCACTAGTTCAGAGAGTGCATGTAAGCCAGTATGTCTTTTTCTTTTTACAGTACATCTGTGGACACCCTAGAAGAGAATGAGGGCTAAACCAGATACAGTCTGTACCTCCAAAGAACCAGCACAAGATTTCAAGTGTCTGAAGCCCCCATGTTTCTCTCCACTTCACTTCTAAGAGACTAAAGGGAGTCAAAACTCTGGTTTTGAAGGATTCAATGCTTTGAGATTTTGTTCCACCGTGACCTCTTATCCATGTATTAGAAAACTATGTTTCTCAATTGACCATTTTTTCCTGGTCTTTAACCACTGATTGATTAAAAGAGATCTAAAGTGTATAGGATCAGATATGCAATACATCAGTACCTTAGCACATTTTCTAAATTTTAAAATATGCATATTAAATTACTTAACAGATTCCGATTACAGGAACAAAAATTATTTTTCTTCATTTTCCCCAGTTGGCAAAAGTTCGCACCACATTTGTTTGATCTGGAAAAGTGCTTATAATAACCAGGATTAAATTTAACAAAGATCCACATATCCACTATCCTATGGTCCCATCTAGGATGCACAGGGAGCAAGGGAGGACTCAGTGCACATTGATTGCTCACCCTCTGGATAAGATACCAATCCATCGCAGGGCCATCAAGACAAAAGGAGAAATTTGGATGAGCTTGTCATATTTACACAGTTCCTGCATATTTTACAGAGGTGGGACAAAACCAGAAAAGGCCAGTAAAAACACAAGGAGAATATCCTAAAGCCGAACCAACATACAACCAAGAATGAAGCCCAGGACCCTGGAGTCACCAGACCACTGTGCTGCAAATTTTACTTAACGCTTCAAAATTAATTTTTAGGTGGAATTACATTTGTGCTATTTTTATGTATTCAGAAAAGCAAAAGGTTATCACTCTTTAAGCCACAGTTTAGAATATTATATTATTTATAGAATATTATTTAGAATATATGGGGCGGAGCGGTGGCTCTGTGGCTAAGGATCTGAGCCTGTGACTGGAAGGTTGCCGGTTCAAATCCTGTGGCCGGCAGAGGAATCCTACTCTGTTGGGCCCCAGAGCAAGGCCCTTAACCCTAACTGCTCCAGGGGCGCCGTACAATGGCAGACCCTGCGCTCTGACCCCAAGCGTCTCTCCCTGTCTGTGTGTCTGTGTCTCCATGGAGAAAAGCTGGGGTATGCAAAAACACAATTCCTAATGCAAGAAATTGTACAGGGCTAATAAAGAAACATTATAAATTATGCATTATAGTTTATGCATTATTAGAGTATAGTTTGATTTTGATTAAGCATTCCGGAAACAAGCTAATTCGGTTCATTGGGGAGATGTTATCCCTTCAAACAAAGAATCATTTTTTCAAGAAAAGATGTTCTGCAACTGTTTAGGATTAAACACAAAATTATAACAAAATCAGAAAAAGAAAGTCTTAAAAGGGCACTTTTTCTGACCACAGCTAGCAGCAATAATCTTATCCCTCAGGCACCATGTGTATAAATTAAAACGAAACGGAAAGGCTGAAAGGAGATGCACTTCTTGACAATTCTTTGTGCGTGGTATAAAAAGACAGTTTCGTGCGCTAAAATGGGATTTCTCAGTAGTTACTCTGTACCCAGAGTGAAATCATGTTATGCTGTGCTCTCCTCAGGGAGACACGTTTCATAAGGAACTGAAAACCAAGTGCGTCCTCTTTTGCAGTTCCAGTAAGCCAGCAGGCTCTGCTGGTGTGAAGTCAGAGAAGGCGCGACGAAAGGGCGTGGGCTTGATGAGACCTGTGGTTTCGGAAGGGGGGGGGGGGGGGGGGGGGGGGGCGGAGAGCCCTGCCCATTCGTCAGAATCCGAGACCTTGACTCCCTCACCACTGCACAGACAGAAAGACCTCCACTTACTCGCAGCAGGAGAACGACTGTCTTGTATCACTGGTTTCTTAATTATTCATTTGTCCCCCATTTAAGCTTGAAGCCCCTGGTACAGTACCACAGAGTGTGCGGTCACAGAGACATAGGAAGACATGGTTGAGCCTGTGTCTATCCCAATAGCTTAACAGCACAGGCAAGCTATAGATTGTTCAAAGTCATCAGGACAGTTTTTCTCCACTTAAAAGTCTGCTTCTCTCTGATACAGCTGTCAGGTTTACGGTTTTATTTTCTTATCATGCAAAGCTCGCTATGACTCAGAAGGAGTGCCAGAAGTGGCTGTTTAATGACATCACCACACCTTAGAAAACAAAACGTCAGTATTAAGGACACGAGAAAAAGCATAAAAAAGAAAACCTATTTCAAATGGAATGATGCACAGAACACATTCCGACAGCCACCTTCTGGGAAATTCTATTTCCTAAAGCAGTGTTTCTGTTTTTATCTTAAGCACGTTGGCAACTAGCAAACTTAACACGTGGGTTTAGGCCAATTGTGCTAAAAGCATTTGTTTAATTAAATTCAGGTTCATAAGATATGAAAAACTAATGATATTAGTTAATGATAGTGATCTATATATTAGTTCTGACATGCTCACTGAACAATTTCACATATCCTAAAAAGCAAATAATTAAAGCATAAGCAATGACCTGAGACCTTCAACCTACAAGTACAGCTAAGATTGTTTTATAGTATAAAAACATCAATTACATCAATTTCCCTTTAGGATCAATAAAGTCTTATCTCTATCTATCTAGTGTATAATCTGTTGTGGGACTAGGGGACTACTTCCACAGTCTGAAACTCTTAGTCAACATCATCCATTTTAATATATGTTTAGTAAAACTGCACATCCATACATA